TTCAAATTATTAATACATTAATTCGCATTTCACTACTGGTATTTTGGTTTCGCTTTGTGCAGTGTCATTAAGCTGGACATTTAAAATCATTTACCTAATTTTTGTTGTATAAGCATGATCATTTCAATTTTGAAAAGGAGAAGAAAAAGTACTTTTGCTCCTGTTCATAAAGGTTGTTATTCACTCCACCTTGAAAATTGTCAGGCTCATTGGTGACCGTCCTTTTTCTTTAATCATGGTACCGAGAGCTTTTGATAGAAGAATTTTTTCTCAGGCTTTAACTTATCTATTATCTGTGGGGGTGACCCTAATCTTAGTTGGCTGAACAAGTCGCTTCTTCAAAGCCATGTAGGGTACAGTGGAACTTGGTGTTGGACAACAAAATTGTGATTGAACCTCAGGTTCTTCTGGGGCTTCCCTGATACTTCCTGGGCACCTGGGAGTCTCCCTTGCTCTGTCACTGTAACGAAGAGCTGCACCACGTAGGGTATTTTAATTTTCTCATTATCAGTTATCATCAATATGATGATTTGCGTAACTATTTGTGCAAACTGTGAAGTTAAATAGTTATGAGGAAGTGTGGTTCATTTGAGTAGGCTTTGACTGAAGGATACTAATTAGATAATGCCTTGAGATGGTAGTTTGGAAAAGAGAAGGCACCAAGTAGTAGCGTAACTGTTAAATGTCAAATATATGTCATACCGCGTTGGTAAGGAAATAAGATCATCTTTAATGTTTTGAGCTTGAAATATTTTTCAAAACCTACGAGATTGCTCATTTTTTTTTCCCCTATTCTTTTTTTCCAGTTTCTTTTTCCTTCCCTGGTTTTCATTTGTCACTAAAAAATGATCAAGTTATAGGAGAACAGAAAACATGTCATACAATTTAGGAGGGATATAGATTATTAAATGCTTGTAGTTTATTAAAATACTTTTATCAAGCTTCTTAAGTGAGAGGGTATTTCTGGGGAGACTCCGTTTTCTATAAAGGAGTAACAATTTAGAGGGAAAAGGACTCTGAATTAATAGAATTAGTTAAGAAGAAAGAATTAAAGAGGAAGGTCTAGTTGAGTATATAAAGTTTGGACGGGAAAATGGACAGGAACCTGAATTTCTGCATGAGTGAATGTTTGGTACATAAGTAAGTAGAGTCTGCTTGAATGGCAGAGTGTCTGAGCATAAACCTGAAAATCTCTGTAAAATATCGGTAACACAGAGTGTGGGATAGTTCATGGGATCTACAGATGAAGTTGGTAAAGCTATGCTGATTTACACCAGCTGGTATTATGGCCCAGTGTTTCTCTGTGGCTCTGAAATCGCTCTTCTTTGTTCTTGTATTTAATCTCTGATAGCTCATTCCATCTCCAAAATTTTACAGTCAGCCTATAGATAATATCAAGGAGACACAGAAACACCTACCCTCTCCCTTTCCCAAAACGGAAAGTATACAAAATCATCCACTTTTTTCCTTTTCTTTTTACCTCATTTTTCAGCATAAGCCAAAGATCAGCTGGCATTGCAGGTCTGCATTGAACGGGTTAAGCAAGGCACAGGAGTAGACCCGGTTCATCCCTCCAATCATGGCTCCGGGGAATTACCTCGCGTTCATTGATCCGCAGTTGTTGATCTGTACATAATAATTGCTCCTCAACAGGAACCGAAGCTGCAGGTCTGGCAGGCAACCTGCATTTCCATTAGGGAGCTCTCCGCTCGGACCGTCATCAGCCTCCACCGCTCCCCAAATCCGTGGCAATTGCATTTGCTCCTTCAGAAAGGGCTGTGACGCCGGGTGGGTTTGCCAGCTCTGGCTTGAGCTGCTTCTAGTTACGTGGTTATCAAGTTTGGAAAGCAGGTGAAATGAAGCTGATCAAAGAGCTAGTCT